TTTTCAGCACAGCCAGAAAACTGACCGTGCTGTGTTCTCATGCCTAGTGTGGTCAGTTTTTAGTAGAAAAACAAAGAGATTTCCTATTACCAGGGATTTCACACAAAGCAGCAATACAAAGAGAACAGGATACTTTTTCATACAAATACATGGTACAGCAGGTACATATCAGGAGTGTGACATGTTGGGTTTACATATTCAAGTTAGCCAATAAAGGATATTACTGAAACTCTAAACATTCTGCAATTTTTGATGTAAAAACCCTGAGGTCCATTTTCTTTAAATCCTCTTTATTAGCAGAATTTGGGTACTCTCCAGTTTTTATTTTTGGATTGGTAGCCAAATTCATCCTTGATATTGTATCACTGCCCATGGAAATGCTATCACATTGGCATGGATTTGCTGCTATAAAAGATTTTATCAGCATAAAACCTCAAACAGTATGATTCACCCAGTGGAGAGAGAAGGCGTATCTGAGAAGAACCTTGTAAATTGCTGTGTAGAGGAGACAGAATCAGCAGTCTTCTTACATGCTGATAACATTCCAAGATCAAATGTGTAGATACCATAGCAAGCACCCTTACCTGCGAAGGCTCATCCTTTAACCACTTGCCTACAGGGCACTTATACCCCCTTCCTGCCCAGGCCAATGTTCAGCTTTCAGCGCTGTTGCACTTTGAGTGACAGTTGTGCGGTCATGCAACACTGCACCCATATGACATTTTTATCATTTCTTTTCACACAAATAGAGCTTTCTTTTGGTGGTATGTACTTGCCGGTAGGTGGTTTGTTTTTTGTGCTATAAACAAAAAAAGAGCAAATATTTTGAAAAAAAAATTTTGTCTTTGTTTCTATTATAAAAATTTGCAAACAGGTAATTTTTCTCCTTCAATGATGTGTGTTGATGAGACTGCACTGCACTGATAGGCAGCACTGATGGGCACTGATAGTTGGCACTGATGAGCTGGCACTGATATGTAACAATGCTGAGCACTGATGGGCACTGATAGGAGGCAATAATAGGCAGCACTGATAGGTGGCACTGATAAGCTGGCACTAATATGCAACAATGATGGGCACTGATAGGCGGCACTGATATGCACTGATAGGCGGCATTGATAGGTGGCACTGACTGATGGCACTGACTGGCAGCACTTCTGGGCACTGATGGGTGGCACTGATGAGCTGGCACTGATATGCAACAATGATGAGCACTGATGGGCACTGATAGGAGGCAATGATAGGCAGCACTGATAAGATGGCACTAATATGCAACAATGATGGGCACTGATAGGCTGCACTGATAGGCGGCATTAATGGGTGGCCCTGACTGATGGCACTGACTGGCGGCACTGCTGGGCACTGATGGGTGGCACTGCTGGGTAGCACTGATGGTTGGCACTACTGGGCACTGATGGATGGCACTGATGGGTAACACTGACTGGCGGCACTGCTAAGCAGCACTGCTGTGTCGCACTGCTGGGCACAGGTGGGAGGCACTGCTGGGCACTGATGTGCACAGGTGGGTGTCACTGATGGGCACAGCTGCGTGGCACTGCTGGACACTTGTGGGTGGCACTGCTGGGCACAGATGGGTGGCACTAGTGAGTACTGATTATCAGGGCACTGATCATCAGTGCTCTAATGATCGGTGCCAATCCCTCTGCTGGCAATTGCCGGTGACAGTGTGAGGAAAGTGCAGCCGATAACCAGCGACTGCATTTACCAGTGATCTGCTTTGTCATTGGACACGGCTGATCATGTGGCAAAAGGCCGCTGTGATTGGCCTTTTACTACCTCGCGTGATTAGCTGTGTCTGTAGGACACAGCGATCATGGAGATCGCCGGGGGGGCACGCGGGAGGGTGCGTTCTGGGAGGACGTCATATGACACCCTCCCAGAACTGGCCGGCTGTAGTGAAGCCATCATTCGGCTATCTGCGGTCGGCAAGTGTTAAAGGGATTCTGTCCCAATGGAGCTTACCTGTAGGAGAAGCATCAGCACCTGCCAGCTCACTTGTTAACCTTCAGGCCAGATATTAGTTGCAGAACTGTCATGTTACATCAGAGCTGAATAGGTTGCTTTCACCCTTGACAACTATTTGGGACTATAGAATACAGTAAGAGGTAGGTGAACACTTCCTCTGGTACCATATTTTTTTACATTATAATGAACCTGCTTCTCTTCATGTAACCTCACCTAAAACTAAGATGATTTTTCACTTCTACACTGCTGTTTCCCTCACCTCAATGAACATTTTTTATGTTAAAACTGATTTTCGTTATTTGTGGCAATGAAGGTATATTTTTATTTGTAGCAATCCTTACCACTAATCAAAGTGCTTAACTGTGTAGCACTCCCTCCCCAACCCCTGGCATCAGGTAGGGCTGACGTTTCACTTCTGGGTTCTAAGCATGGTGAGAGAGGCTCTGAAGAAGAGGGGACCCCCCCTAGAAACATGTCAGTCATTTTCGAGTATCGTCTTGCGTGTGCAACTCGAGCAATATTCTGGACCATGGACTCATGTCAGATATGATATGCCTGTGTTTATTTGGCATTTTGAATATATATGTGACTTTATAAATAAAGTTTGTATTGAGGTAATTTGCAAAGCTGTTTCACCCCTTTCTTTTTCTTGTTTTTTAGGGCTATCTTGGGCTACCCCAGCCCCCAGGGGACCGCACAGCACTGCACTACCGAATTGAATGCAAAGAGGCATGAAGATTCATCCACATATGCTAAATCCGGTCTTTTGTGTACAGGAGGTTTGTTTTCTACTTTTCGGAGCCACTTGCTGTCTTCATACCCCAATGTGCTTTACTAACCCAGGCTGTAGACTATGCGTAGAATGTGTCAGTTACTTTTATTACACCTCTTTAGTAACTCCTGACTACTCAAAGGACAACGTTTCAAAAGCTTTACTGAAAACTCTTAGTATACTAGAACAAAGTGCACAGCTTTTCCTAGCATTCCTAATCCCTACTGTCCCTAAATCTCTGTGCTTGTGGCTGCCCCAGCATACCTGCATCGGATTAGAGTCCATACATGGCAGAGTCTATAGTGGCAGATCTTCAGCACTGGTATCTTCAGGGCGGACTGCATGTTTGAGCAGTCCCTCTACATGGTGGATGTGACAGCAGGCAGGCATGATCTCTGATGTGGAAATGCTCCCCCTTCTCTCTTCTCTGTATTCAGCTAGAGATTACCTGCTGTGACTTGTCTGTGTCTTTCCTTCCAATGCATACTGTGTCTGTCTGGGCAGAGTCCTCCCTCCTTTTATTATCAGCACAGGCAGAGAGGCAGAAGTCAGCAGAAAATGCTTGGAAACAGGTTAATTCTTTCCCTCCTGCCTGGGGGAGCAGCTATCTCACTAACCAGCATTTCAACCTACTTACAAAAAATTCTACTCCACCATAGATATAGTACAGTAAGTGAGCATTGTCACCTTGGAACTGGAAATGAATTAGAGGCAGGATCACCAGGTGAAAATAAATTAAAAATGCCTGAGAAAAAGAAAAGTAATGCAACTACCAAGAATAGATACTGGTAAAGAGCAATGTATGACAGTTCTGTTTCATGAGTTTAGATACAGCAGAAAAGAACCCTGTCACCAGATGAGGGCATGCTTTTGATACAGTATACATACAGGAAAGGTAGTTATTCATGTAATCAGGTCGTAAAAACAGTTTTTACAGTCCTCATATAGATTGCCTAATTTCACTGACAATAGTACCCCCACCTTCCCTATGGAATCATATTTTATGGGTGGTTGTAGGCTGTCAGTCATGTTCTGGTCGGACTGAAATGCCAAGAATGCCCACTTCTCCTATCAGCCCAATTAAGCAGCACAAGATTTCAGGACCTCCTTGCTGTAGAACTCTTGCTTCCTATGATGACTGTCAGAAGGTCATTAATTGCATTTGACTGACAGCTTACTTTTTTTTTGCATTTACTGCATGCTTTTACAAATGTATTTTTTACAAAAGGTAACCCTATATTAAATATGTAGGTTTCCTTTAAAAGACAAAAACTCCTCTCTCAGTATCTTTGCACACACATTAAGCAAATTACGGTTCAGTTTTTACATTGAATTCCTATGGCAACACAGCGTAACAACGATTCTGTCAGTTACAAATCTGGATTCTGACTGGTTCATTAGTTCTTCTTTCTATCCAGCACTCCCACTAACAATCAGATCATCTATTTCAGGGCTGTTCATGAGAGAGGCAGGAACAGAGTTCTTACCAATACATGGCTTCAGATACCTCTCGTTCGTACAGACATTTGGAAATCTGTATCCATGTATTGTATTGCATTATCCAAACTAGTGCAAATAGACACAGCTGTAGAGGTTTGTATATTATTGCCTGGAATGGGAGATTGGAGCGACATTTGGAGAATAAAAGCACTAACATCCTTTGCAGTCACTCTCCCCTTCTACTTCAGGCTCCATTTGCACTTCACATAGCAGGAACTCACTTGATTTTGTGTGGGCAATTTTCATGTGATTCACAGCCCATACACTTCAAAGGGCTGTCCTATGCCACCAAAATGTATGTCGTATATTTTGCAGCAATTGCCACCCAATTTAAAATCACAGACAGAATTACGCTGAAGATTCCAAGCCGCCAAAGTGTGGATGAGGCATAAAAGAAACTTGTCTTGAGAAAAATAATTCAGTATTTGCTGATTACATTTTTAATGCTATTCATCATCTTGCCACGCTGATTCCGTACCTTTAAAGTGTTACTAAACCCAGGACCCTGCATTCACTATATCTGGTCTCCCACAGTACACAGAACATGAAAATGCAATTATTTTAGTAAATATAAACTGCAAAATATCTTTTCTCATCAGCAGTTAGAGCAGTCTTGGAACTTCTATCAGTGTCCAGACGAGCACTGGTTAAAGCTTGTAGGAGGAGTTTTCATTCTACTCTAGGAGGATGCAGAACCCCTGACCTCTGTCTGGACAGAGCAGATTGGCCCTGTGCTGATCACATGCACTCTCCCAAGAAAAAAAAAAACAAAAAACCTCTCTAGCAATACACACCAAACTGAGCATGTGCAGAGTGACTCCATACAATATGTCTTATCAGAAGATAAGAGGTGGACACTGGAAGAAGGGGAGGATCAGAGAAGACAGGACCAAACAGCCTTTTTTTCCCACAATGCAGAGGATCCACAGTGAGTATATAAAAAAACATGCTTTACTGCATATTCAGACTGATTTTACTGTTGTTTGTTTAGTAGTACTAACAATAATTTGAATCATTGAGATAAAATAGGTATGCAGGAAGAATCAGAACTGGTGAATAGTAATGAGAAAGGAGGCAGTGAGTCTATCATTCAACGGGCTGAAATATACTTCAATTGGATGAGGCTGATCACTGTACAGGCATTTAGGATCCTATACTTTGCCAGGAATGCAGGTATTCTGTGTTCCGGGTATTTGCCTCTGAATGTATAGGGTCATAAATGCCAAACAACACTTGATTCAGCCCCATCCAGCTGCAGCATATTTCAGGATGTCATTGGCTGTGCTGCACCTGTGCCTCCTGGGCGCACTGAAATGCTGGGACTGAATGCACAGATGTCCTAGTGTACAACAGGCCTAATAATCAGACCACTTCACACTTGTCCACTGCCTACGATGTACAAGGATAATTATAATTGGTGTCCCTTGAATCCCAAAAATGACTTACAAATATAGATTTGACAGTGAAGATCTTTTCTGTACTATGCCTCTTACCAAATATATTATTAATGGCTGTGAAACTCACAGGAAGACTTTACTACACAGCTCACTGGTGAACACATTTAACTGGTAACAGATGCTTCTGCTCCATTGCTTGTTCTAATGTTACGCCACCAAGATTGTAAGACACACTCAAGTAGAGCCATGACAGTTCTGTACACTGCCCCTACAGAGCTTAGTTGATGGCAATCCCCTGAACTGCTCAGCACACAAATCTGTCACTGCTGACAGCTTCAAACTGCTCTGCTGCTATAGTGGAAGGTCTGGCACTTATGGGAAGAATCTAGCTGTTTGCAGCTTAATGTCATTGGAACATTGCATCTAGTAAATCCAGCTGCACTAGCAGTCCATCTTGAATAAGAACATCACCTCTTACACTTTGGGGTCTCTTCATAAAAAAAATAACTGTGCGAATGTCTCAGCATTCACACATCCATTGTGAGTAATCCCAGTAATGTGTCTAATATGTTTATTACCTATGACTGTCAACTCCATCTAGTGACCACAATGCTGTATTTTCTTGATTGTGATGTTTTCAGAAGATAAAACATTATGGTCACTTGATAGAGCTTATAATCATAGGATATAAACATATTACACACATTATGGGGATTTAGTTGCAATGACTGTTCAAATGCTAAAACAGCAAATATTTTATAAATAGGCCCCACGGTGTGTCGCTATGCTTCATACTTGCACAACATGTGCACACAACTGTCACTGTCCAAAGAAGCTGGGCTTGGCAACTTATGTACCATACTTGCCATTCAATACAGAACATGGTGTCTATGATACTTGACAAGTCCATTCCTTAAAGCAGAAGTTTAATTTTGCTATAACTTGTTCATCCCTCCCTCACTCATCAACATGTTATTTACACTTTTAACCATTTCAATACCGGGCAATTTTACACCTTCCTGCCCAGGCCAGTTTTCATGTTTCAGCACTCTCACACTTTCAATGACAATTGCGCGGTCATACAACATTGTAACCAAATTAAAATTTTATCATTTTCTTCACACAACTAGAGCTTTGTTTTGGTGGTATTTAATCACCGCTGGGGTTTTTATTTTTTGCTAAATTAACAAAAAAAGACCAAATATTTTGAAAAAAAACCCCACGTTTTTCTTTGTTTCTGTTATAAAAGTTTACAAATAAATAATTGTTCTTCATAAATTTAGGCTGAGATGTATTCTGCTACATGTCTTTGGTGAAAATAACCCAAATTAGGATGTATTATTTAGTTTGTAGGAAAGTTATAGAGTTCACAAACTATGGTATAGATCTGAATATTGATCAATCCTGAAGTACTGACAGCCAATCTAATTTCTTGAGGTCCAAGAAAGTCAGAATAGTACAGATATCCCCAAATGACCCCTTTTTGCAGAGTAGACAGTCCAACGTACTTCATAAGAGGAATGGCGAGTTTTTTGAAGTTGTATTTTTTTGTTGTCATAATTTTTCGGAAAATTAAAAAATTAAAAAAAATTATTTTCACTATTTTTTTTTTACATACTGTCACCAGTGCAGTACAGCGTCATCATATAACTGGCATAGCGGTGAACAGGAACACTGACTGGTGACAGTATGAAAAAAAAAAAAAAATATATATATATTTTTTTTAATTTTTATTATTTTTAATTTTTTATTACATTTTTAAATTTTTTTTAAGATTTTTTTTCATATTTTACTATGACCAAAGTAGTACAATGTTACCATAGTAACATTGTACTACTTTGGGGAAGTGATCAGTATTTTTTTTTTTTTTTTTTACACAATTTGCTTATAGCAAAGAATTACTTTGCTATAAGCAAGCATTTACCTGAATGACATCGATTCATTCAGGGGTTTTTTTTTTTGTGCTTAGCTGTGATTTGGCCACAGGTAATCACATGACATGTGCATGTGACCTGCTGTGACCATTCACAGCTAGGCAGTAGTATACAATGGATGGCATGAATGAAGCCATCCATTGTATACAACTGTCATGTGACCTGCTGTGATTGGTCACAGCAGGTCACATGGTACCGGCAACGGGAGCCGGTACTCAGATCTGTCATCGGCCGTGTCCGAGGTACACTGTTGGTGACAGATCGCGCTGCTGCGCGGCTCTGCAACCGCGCGAACTGCGCATGTGCGGGAGGACGCCAAATGGCGTATACCCCGGAAAGCTGTAGCATTTTTGCGGCCTCCAAATGGCTATAGGCCGGGCGACTAATGGTTAAATGAATACTTTCTGTTTTCATTGATTACCTTGAGATTATCACAGGCTGGTGTGAGGGGCCAGCAGGGTGCTGTACTTAGCTTACTGAAAACATCACAGCACTCACCTTGATACTCCATTTAAGAGCCCTCTTGGAAAAAGTTGCAACAAACAAAACGCCTTGATGTGTGGATGTCTGTCTGGAGTAGTGAGTGTATCTAGCATGGCTACATTTACATGTAGACTGCTCTAGGCAACACCTTTATTTGATGCTGAGCCTTCATGACAGAAAGAAGTGAAATAGAATGAATGAAAGGGGTGTGCCAGGGACAGTCAGTATGACTAGACATACAGGCAGAAGCATCCCTAGGGTTGGTGTCACCAGGTGGGATAACACGTGGTGTTACCCCTCCAGAGAGGAAGGAGCGGTGCCCGTGTAGCAGAAAAATGATTATCCCGACCTGTGAAGATATGTATCCCCTGAAGCAACTGTGTGGTTGAACCTATACGGGGTTAACTGATCTTGCAACCCATAGTGATCTGTGGGATCGGCTTCAGCGGTTTTCAGCCTGTAAGGTGTTAACTGTGGCAACTCTGTGCTAAAGTCGGAGATCGGCGATCGGCTTCTTCGGCCTGAAACCGGCACATGCACAGTTGCTTCATGGGATACATATCTTCACTCTGAAGCAGTGAACTCAGAAGGTATGCCTCCTCTGCAATTCTCTAAAGGCCGTCAGCCAAGCAACCACTGAAGCCTAAACTCTAGTCTCTTGTCTCAGCAATCCTCCTCCAAGGGGCAGCAGCCCCAGCAGTACAGGAAGCCTCCTGTCTATTTATCAACTCCCTAGCCACCTTCTGGATGCCAAGGATTCTTCTCTTCCAAGGATTGGCCGGGGCATGATAAATATTCAATAATCATTTGAATCTCCCTCCCTATACTCTGCAAGCTTCTGGAACCCTAATCAGACTAAACCAATCAACAACCACCCCACTCACTACAGTGGAGTCAAAAATGTAATTTTCCTATCAGCCTAACTAGGAGGGAGCTACACCTGTATACATTGTCATACAGAAAAAAACCTATGTAAAAGCCAATTAAGTTGGAAGATACCAAACCTATCATTTAATTTATGGACTGTGCAAGGAAACCATAAAAACAGAAGAAACCCACAAAAACACAGGGAGTACATACTGTCTCCAGTGTCCTGGTAGAGACCATACTTATTACATCAGCGCAGTACAACCATTTTTTCCGATACATTATCTTGAAATAATAGTGCAAACAATGTACAAAATATCTTACTTTTAAAATGATGTTCATTGTTTTTAATGAAACTTTTTTTTTATTTTTTTTTGTTTCAGAAGAAAATAATTACCTTGGCCTTGTTCTCCCCCTGCCAATTTACACGGTAATTGTTATTCAACATAAGGGAGCATGTTTCTGTCTATCACAACTGCAACGGCGTAGGAAAAACACAAAATGTGGTTTCAGGCGAAGAGTTCAAGGTCACATTGTCATTACTGACAGTCAACTGCCAATGAATCAGCAATTTAATAGTCATTGCAGTTCATTGATTTGTGATATTGCCAGTGATCTGTACTGATGAGCCATGAACGTAAGAATTTGAACAATATTCTAATAAAACCCATTCTGAGCCGGACACAGACGGTTTGTTCTATCGCTAACACATCCCTATATTTGCAGCATCAATGTATGTTAACGTCACCCTCCTTCTCGATACATTGGGGGGGAATTTGTCAATGGTGTCATAAGTATTGAGACTGCTTGTTTGTCTTAGAGGCATTTTTGATGCAATTTACATTCCAGATTCATGGTAAGGAAGAAAGAGAGGAGCTTGAAAAGTATTGTAAAGCAATTATTTTTGCTGTAGTAGAAATGTCTTTCGTATAGCATTGAAATTGCCCCACAGCTGTTTCCTTTTCTATCTCAGGCTTCAATACATTAAATATTTAATCCAATACAATCATGTAGCCATTGAAGACATAGTGAAGCCACAGCCATGAGATGAACGACATGCCATGGGATGAGCAGGAGAGCCAGAAAACCAGCATTTTCAGAAGGAGAGGCCAGCAGTGGCAGCTTATATGTGTCTCTCAATACAGGTTTCTTCTAAAGCCCATATCTATGATTCTAGCATGCCGTAAGCTTCGAAACACCTCCTGATCGCTATCCCCCCAAAAGGCATTAATCCTCTTGCCACTATTTTTTGCAGAATTACTATTAGACAACCTTTTTCTGCATTCTTCAGCCCACTTCGGTGACATCACAGGTTCTTCCTCTTCTTCCTTACTTCTGGACGTGTCTCCCTTTAGTGTTCCTTACTAGTGGACGTGTCTCTCCCCTCCGAGGGTGCTGGCGCACAAACAAGGGTGGCATGTACAGTAATGTCAGCATAGGGAATAATAAGTCCTTCTGTATTCATTTAAAGAGGTATAGAACCCAAAACCAAAAATGTATTATATTGCAGCTTACTCATCATTAGATGTAGCGGTTGTATTAGTTTTATATTTTTAGGGTTTTTTTCCTCTGTTTGCATCTGGTGATCCAGCCAGTAACACACCTCCTGTATTAGTGAGACACCACTCTGGATGAAGGAGCAACAGAGACACCTTTGGACAGCAGCACTGTCAGTTGGGCGTGGGGTTAGATCAACTAGCAGATTTAAGTCACTAACACTAACAAGTTAAACCCAAACTCCAACTAGCACGTTATAAACAGTTACAGCATCCTTTTGGGATAAAGACTGTACATAAATAAATAAAAGCTGATTATTGTATGCACCCCTGTCAGTGGTAAATGGTTTGTCTCAACCCCCCAACTGCTACACCTACAGAACAGCTTGTTCTGTTAAAAAAATAACAGACTTACTTGCTAGATCTCCTGGTGAAAATATAGGAAAGCAATCCAAAAAAAGAAAACGAATGCAGCCATCACATCTAACAATTGGTAAGGTGCATCATAATAAATGTTTGCTTTTGGGTTTAATATCGCTTTAAGCCCTATTGATGCATAAAACAACAATCAACCCGAATGATGGTTGGAATGCACACTTATTTCGTAAAACATAAATTTTTCTAGTGGGTTCAAATCAAGGAAATTCAAAGGAGCAGAATTTTTTTTTTTTCTGGAATGAACAAATGTCTAACTGTGAATGTGGTTTTCATTCAGGAAAAATGTTACCAAAAAATGATTTTTTAACTCTCGACATAGCAGGTCTGGATGACATTTTAAGTGCTTTCAATCAAAATTAGTTAACTCAAAAAGGGCAAAATCAAATGCTCCAAATGATGAATGATTTTATCCAGAATAATATCCACCCAAAGGTTCAAATAAAATGTACCTGGTGCATTGGCTGCTTTTTCAGCAAGCTGTACGTTTCAGGTGTAGAAGATCAAGTAACTATTGGTTTCTGCCTGTATTCATTTCTGGCATTCTATTGATAAGCATTGTCAGATCAAATTTAAAGCTGGAGGAAGGTTTCCTGCATCATATCCTGTGTGAGTACCCACAATTAAAAACATTTTGGCAGCCGGTTCAGCAGATTATTAGGGATGTCACCACTTACATGCTTCACTTTTTCCCAACCCAGTGTTTACTGCACTAACCTTCCTCGCTAGGTGGACAACACCAAAAGTCTCTTGCGACCCATATGGTCAATGCAGCCAGAATGGGTATACCCCCACTATCCATGAATGTATGCTTAACAAGACTGAAGAGAGTCTCAGAAATGGAGAAACTGGTTTATACCTCACAACATAGACTCATAGACCTTATTAAAACCTGGGCATGCTGGATTCATTTCACATCCACTCGGACTTAAACCACTATCATGTCCAGTTGAGGATGGTTCTTTTTGCAACTTCTGGCCACCGTTCTTTACCACGCCCTTGGCAGACAGTCCACTGGTTATATGTGTTTGGAGGGACACTCTACCAGGCAGGCTAACTTTTCTTGTCCTACCCAACCTATCTGTTCCCATCTTTTATATTTCCCCTCTTCTCTTTCCTGCCCCCCCCCTTTTTTTGGTTGTTCTTTATTTCCCCTTTTGGTCCACATTACATGTGTATGTTCTTCAATAAAGTTTTGTTTGCACATGCTGGACTATATACATTGTCCCTAACTGCAGCAGGTGCTTTAGTGTTTTTGTCTTTGTACTTCTGGCTTATATAATTTCTTATTTTTGAAAAAAGTTAATTAAAAATTGTTGTGAAAAATAAAAGCTTTAAGTTGTTTATTAAGCCAGATACAGCTCTGCATGCACACTGCAGCTCAAAAAGCTTCTTTTACAGGCATTTGAGCTTTTTTTTCTCTGGCTCTAAACTCCCCTCCATGTTAGCCTATGTGTCCATGCACACTATAGGCTTTTTCAGGAGTTTAGTGGAAGAAAAAAAAACATCACTTGTGCATTTAGAAGAGGACCTTTTAAGCATAAAAAAATGCTCAAAAGCACCCAAACGCGCCTTATCGAGCGTTAAGGCTAAGTGTGTTCCTACGTTAATGCATTCTAATGGCCAGACTGCTATACTAACGCCAGATGTGGGAACGTGAATTAACGCACATGAAAAATGTGCCTTTTTTCTGTGTTTTTTGCTGCTGCTATACTCCTGTAGGAGGAAAAAGTGTCAAGAGCATACAGTGTGCATGAGGCCAGTCTTGGATGATGGTATCTTATGCATTTGAGTAGCTTTAAAATGTTGTTAACTGTATAGCTATAACATTATGTAAACAGATCTTAAAAAATTAAATATATAGGAGAGAGGTACTATTTCATAAAATACAAAAGCACCAGAACTATCACTTTGAAATAAAGATGTAATGAGTCTGCCAGCACTCCTTTCCTACATAAACATAAATCATAAATCACTACCTCCTCAGGGGCCACTGAGTAATTTTCGGGTTCCCTGTCTTTCTTTACTCCTCTCTGGAAGCCCATCCCCTGCTGACACCACCTTAATCCTCTGGCCAGAAGAATCCTGTGGCTGCAAACATGACTCACACACAATTTAGAGTGAACTAATTTTTTTGGTTCAAATGTAGGCACAGTAAAGCAACAGGAAAATATGTGCATAAGATAACAGTTGTCACTCTGTTAACTTTAAGTAAATGTCACAACATTGCACAATCTCAATCAGTTCTAGAGCTCCTGCAATTCAGTATTTAAATGAAAGCCCCAGTCCTGAGAGGTTTCTTCCCCACTGAGTCACAAAAAAAAGAACTACCAAAGAGGCTAAATCACTTTGAGCTCTCAGTGGCTGAGGGCTTAGTCCAATTCTGAGGGAAAGAAGAGCTCTTCAATTAAAAAGATTAATGTCCCTTTAACTGCAGTGTCTGATCTTTTGTGCGCTTGATGAGGCCCTAGTTGGTGCACATAAAGATCCAAAACCTCTTTGAGGCAAAAGGATAGAAGTTCCTTAATGGAGGGTGAACACAAAGGGAAGGAGCTGCCCCCTTAGATGTTGTTGCATTTAAATAGTATCCCTTTGGCACACACAGGATAAGGTGTAAAATTTGTAAAATGGACAAAACACACTCCTGTGGAGTTGGATTCTCCCTTAGGCCACAGTGGTAAACTGCAGCAATGCAGCAGCTCCTTGGCAAATTGGCAAACTGTGATGGGTGCCATAATACAGCTGGGCCTGCAGATGGCAGATAGTGCAGTCGGCCTCTGTGATTGGATATGTTGGAACTGTAATAGGCTGAACAATTTAACACATCTAACTTGAGAAATGATAGTAAAGAAGGACCAGGGGCGGACTGACCATTTGTAAACTCGGGCACTGCCCGAGGCCCCGGGGTCAGAAGGGGGCCCTATGAGATGCCCCTGGTACCTTTTTCATAGGCTTTTTTGAGTTTGGGAAGGACACAGGGGCCCCATGATCCCCTATTGCCCGGGGGCCCCATGAGTTATCAGTCCACCCCTGAGAAGGACTGAACTTACTGTCATGTAATGTCATGTGCAACTTAGATGGCTTACGTATGGAATTTTCTTACTCAGTCTGTGGTCTCGGTCAGGTGGCAGAAAGTCTCTATGTAGACAGGGGCCCCCCTATCCTCATGATTCCACTTCAGAGACCAATTAGGATGGAAGCACTCTGGCTTGCCTGCTCTCAGGGCTGTCTGTCAGACTTGTCAGTGATGTCAGTGGTCAGTAACTCTCCCTTTCTGTGGTCTGGCCCAGCTGGGACCTCCGGCATCCCGCAAGATCCTCACACATGCTCTCCAGCTCTCTCTCTGTCCACATCCTGTCCTCTGGTTCCTGGACTTTAGCTAGCTCTTCTGGGAAATGTAGTTTATCAGCTCCCTATCAAACAGTGAAATCATGCAACTCAGCCTATGAATCCCACAAAGCTTTTCAACAGAGTCTGTGCAAATGGGCCCCAGAACACTGCCATCTTGTGTCCATTTAACATCCTACAAACAGTATTTCTGTCAGGTGTTACACTAGGGACCTCGTGTTAATGCAAAGGCTGTCCGAGACATATGTCAGAGGGTAGATATATCATGCCTGCATGTCCACTTATGTCTGTGGCTGTCCCCATTTATTGCTGCAGGATGAGAGATGAGATGAAATAGTGTGCCCTTAGAATAAAGACAAACAGAACACTGCCGCCCACTCTCATGCAGGAAACTTTATACACTGGATTGCAGGATCAGTTTCAAGTCAATAAAAATCATCATAATCTGCATTCAGGCAGAAGAGGAATGCTTCATCATTCAATTGCCAAAGGGTTTGAGAGAGTATTGAGTATATGTACAGGTAAAGTAGCATACTCTTTTAATTCTAACCTGGTTTATAAACAGAAAGAAAAAATATTGACAGAAATCAGCTCATTTTGTGTTAAAGCAAAAGCTCCACCCAAAAGGGGCAGTTCCACTTTAAGTACTGGCCCCCGCTCCCCTTGTAGAATTGGTACCTTTGGAGAGCTGGGGGGGGGGGGGTTGGTACCCGATTACCTGTAAACCTAGTTTTCCTTCTCCCCCCCTCCTGTAGTCTTCTGGGACATATAACAGGTCCCAGAAAACTGTGGGACCATTCACAAGGCAAAGAGCTAATTACGCATGTGCAGCGGGCACCCGGCTGTGAAGCCGCAAGCTGTCTCTTAAGATGTCGATCAACGAGGAGCGAGGATGGCCGCTGAAACCGGCTGCGGTGAGTGGGACAGGTAAGTGGTTGTTTGTTAAAAGTCAGAGCTACAGTTTTTGTAGCTGCTGACTTTTATTTTTTTAGCTTTGACTGGAGCTCTGCTTTAACATTGTTTGCAGAGTGTTTTATAAACAGATAAGTCAGTTCGAGCATTTTTGTTGCCATGAGAACAGGACCTACGCTATTGAATTTCTAGAGGAGTTCAGCACCTACAGCTGCAGCAATCTGACAGAAGAAAATATTTAAGCTTGACAATGGGCAAAATATTAAATTTTTCCATTTTTAATTAATAAAGTAACAGCCAATAATATGCCAATATATTCATTCTAGTTAAAGAGTCATAAATCATAATGCCTTTTGGTCACGTACAGTATAATTTTCACTTTTGGAGGTTTACAAGTTCATTTGATGATTTTTTTATGCCAGTTTTAAATATTTTTATTACTTCTTTTTTTTTTTTTTCCAAAAAAAAATGTGTATTGCAGAGTATGTCTGGCACATTCAGACTGGAATGCAAAACACTTTCTAATAAGAAAGTTTTAAAACTGCCTGCCTGCTTTTAGGTAGTTGGTCTAACTGACTTAGGCCTTGTTCACACCATATGTGCAGAAAAACTGATGGAAACTGGCGCACAGATTTCACTTGCAAAGACATCAGTTTACATCAGTTTTCATGCACGCTGCAATGAGTTTTATACACGTTGCAGATTCCTGCGCAGAAAAAAAATCTGCACTTGATACTAGTGTTATGGTGTGAACAGGGTACATAGAGAATAATTAATTTTGTTGTGCTCTTGCAGAACACGTGCAGAAATACTGATGTCTCTGCACCATGGTGTAAATGAGCCCTAATGCATGCCCTAATTGTTGTCTTAATTTCTAGCTTTCAAATACAGTATAATTCAGTTAGCTTGATCTCTATAGAAGGGCAAAAAAAATTAGAAGGGCTGGTCATGTCTATCAAACTTCAATCAGATAATCTTGTATGTTGATCTTTTAGAACATTTTGGAACAAATTAGCTTGTAAACTGAGTGGTGTACTAGGATAGTTGAAGTTGCCGGGATTAGAAAAAGTACATTACAAAGGAATTTGTAACTTGATGATTCTTAGAAAATTTTAGAACAAATTCGGCTCTACCCTGAGCAGTGTACTAGGATTGCCAGTATCACTGGGATTTTGAAAAGTACTTGAAAAGGGAATGGTAACTTGAAGATCATTAGGTTTTTTTTAAGTAATGCTTAAAAGATGGTTAGATAAAAATATCCATATAGTGCAAGATGTACATAACTCTAAAACACAAGGGCAGTCTTGGTTGGAACTGTTGCAATAGAAGAATTTAATAAATATTGGCAAAAGTTCCTGGAAAGATATCCTACTTACCATGTGTTTTAAATAATAAAAATGTTTGCCTATAGGTTTACTATTAATATTTTATTTATAGTTGTACAACGCTGTTCTTGTGAAATTTCATGGGTTTTTTTTCTATGCTATCTTTAAATAATGAAATACTACATTAGAACTATAATCTGCAAATACCACTTCTCCTCTAGCCATGCAATGCGTGTGAGCTTCCTTACCAGCTCCAGCCTCCTTTCTTTGTCTTTTTTGACCAGTGCTGGATTGAACTCCATGGAGGCCCCTAGGTAGTCGAAACCTTGGCTTCCCCCTTGCAGGTTTCTGGAGGTTTTTCGTGCACATGTTCTAGTGGGATAATATTGAGCTAAGTAGTGTGCAGGGGTGGACTGACCATTTGGAAACTCAGGCACTGCCCGAGGGCCCAGGGGTCAGTAGGGGACCCTATGAGATGCCCCTGGTACCTTTTTCATAGGCTTTTTTGAGTTTTGGCAAGGACACAGGGGCCCCATGATCCCCTATTGCCTGGGGGCCCCATGAGTTGTCAGTCCGCCCCTGGTAGTGTGTACATTAGCTGCTAGATAAAGATGACCATCACTACTGTACATTACACATACGTAGGTCAAACCAAAAGCTGAAAAACATATGAGCTTTTAGGAGACAAACTGTAATGTGAACCTGATGTCTATAGTTTATGAACTTTAAAATGGTTGTAAAGGCTGAAGGTTTTTTAACCCCTTGGTGCCGGTGCCTTCCAGCCCTTTAAGTGTTCCAGAAGCCGGGAGGCATGCAGGGTTTGCAGGGTCATGTGAATGCCGTGATTCGCTGTCACGGCGGTTACATGATCGGGAAAGGTCCCGATCGCAAGAGGAGATCGGGACCTTTCCGTGAATACCAAACGTGTGTGCTGGGAGTGCGCAGGGTGCGCGCTCTCAGCACATATTTTTTTTTGTACTAGAACACAAATGTGCGGCCGCTCTGTGTCTAGGCCCAGACGCCGGGAGGCCGCACATTTGTGTTCGGCCAGCACCAAAAGGTTAAATTCATGAAATTTATGCATGAAGGTAAAAAACCTTCAGTGGGCATCTCCTCCCTCAGGCCCCCCCCCCCCCAATACTTACCTAAGTCTGATCCGAATCCAGCGCTATGCACGAGAGCCTCGGCTCAGTCTCTCTCTCCTCGTTGGCTGATACACTGCAGTAGAAGCCACTGTCTCCTGCTGCTGTCAATCACAGCCAGTGAGAAGGGAGTGGGGGGCGGGCATGTTCTGTATGTCTTATGGCATGCACTAGTGCAGGGAGATCGCCAAGAGCTCTTGCAGGGGGCCTGAGAAGTGGAGGATTAGGGCTGCTCTGTGCAAAACCATTACACAGAGCAGGTAAGTATGAGAGCTGCACCCACCTAGCTGAGTATAAATGTTTTGTTTTTTTTTAAAGTCCATACTTCTCTCTTTAGAGAGGGAATTCACCAGGAAATGGGAGAATTGAAAGTCAGCAGCTACAGTACTTTTACAACATTTTTGATTACTTGCCAGTGCATGCAGTTCAGTGCTGCATCTTGGGGTTCCTGTTTCTCCATGTCGCCATCTTGGTTTCGGGAGCTGGCCTGATGAATCACAACAACCGTACCTACTGTGCATGTGTGAAACATGGCCTGCCGTGAGATTGGTCCTACTGCCTCCTGGGCAACGTGACATTATCCCAAGTGGGTGATGGAGGGAGGAAAAGGAGGAACGAAAAAGCTGGAGCTAAAGAGGAATTATGAAGCGGGAACTGATACCACCTAAAATTTTGTTCCTTGAAAGAAAGAAAAAAAATCTGTCATTTCTTTACAGCCTGCGGGAGAGGAAATGAGAGATGGTAACTTCAATTTTTAGTTGAAGATGTGACAATTTTCTTAAAGCCAGTCGAGTTAGATAGTTAGATTGCTGCTTAGGTTATTCATATTTGTTGGGTAATGATATTGGCCTGGTTTTCCATTCTGGGCCAATTTTCTACAATAGCAACAAGGCTATGAAAGACAATATAAATTGCACGTTACAAGAATATAGTACATTGGTAATGGATAATTCACTGATTTAGCAGAGAATCATTTTTACAAAACCTATTATATCGCTATTTCTTTTTACCTCTAATTGAGAAGGAAAACTTGTCTGTATTTTATTAGCAAGTTGTGCATTCCAGGTCCATCCAATTAATTTCATTTATAAACTACAGCAGTAGCATAGTTCCTTTGTGTACCTTGTTACTATAGTGATATCATATGGCTCAGAAGTCAGTCACTTTGATTGTTAGTCTTTCGGTCTCCATGGTGATCTCAGTTGGGAAATGCATTCTATAATCCTTTTTTAGAAGACCCAGTCTAGACCCTGCTATAGTCAGGTTCACCTGTAAGGATATTTGTTGCTCTCAGAGCAGGGAAGATGAAGGTCTTCCTGCAGAAAACATAAAAGATTCAACAGCTTTGGAAAAGCTCTTTGCAGTAAACACAGGAACTGTTTGGCTCAACTAAAACTAAAGCAAAGCAATTTATTGTGAAAAAATATCTGTTGGCCCTTCAAACGAATGTATACAGCGTTTATGGAAAGGGAACAAGCTAAAAA